AACATATGCAGGTACTTGTTAGTGGGTCACAGTGGTACTTTTCGAGAGAAGCTCGTCTATCTCTAAACTACACTAGATGTGATCTAAGCATTTTCTTTCTGACTTTCATATGGGTTCCCGCTAATCAGAGACTGCCTCCTGCTCATGGTGCCTTTCATGTAATACTAGCGATTGTGTTATCATTAGCTAACCGCTTTTGCTAGCATGTTTCTGGGGTTTTGTTTTTGGCCTATCCCAATATTATCCAACGCCTATTTCTGAGTTGATCTTTGTTTTTGTTCCGTTTTTCCTTTTCACTCTTCTGCCTCCCTCTTTTCCCGGCTTTGTTTCGTTAATTCACTACTTAACTAATTGGGCCGGCATGTCGTTTAGACGTATAAAAATAAATAAATAAATAAATAACATCGGAAAAGGCTTACATTTTTCTTCCCGTAAGGAATATCATCGAGGCAAATCTCCTTCGTGTCATCAATCCTGGTTTTAACAATTTCGATGACCATTTCGCAGCAAAAATACAATACACCTAGTCCAAGATTTTCGTTACAAACTTCTTTAAGCTTTGATTCCACACTCGATATCTGAAAATTCACGTTATTAATTCCTTAGTTCTTTATGCAGTACATTATCGGTTAGGGCGCATGCATAGTCGGTCGTCCGACAGCAACGATCGCAACTGTCGCACAGTCTTAGATGCGTAATCGTCGAATACTCAGGCAAGTCCGACGATCGATACGCATCCAATGCTGTGCGACAGTTACGATCGTTGCTGTCGGACGACCGACTATGCATGCGCCCCTAAATGAGCGTGGAAAAACCGATTTTATCTATAAATTGATGAACTTAAACTCATTTCCACTCCCTGGGAAACACTCGAGTATGCACCCCCTCGACCAACTGGTCCCTAATAAGAATGACTGAGAAAGAGCGATAAAGGCTTCCACGTTCAACAAAAACGTCTACCTACCAAATCATCGTCCATCCACTCGCATTCTATTTCCAGATCTGGTAATACCGCAGGGTAGTCGCGTGGAAGCCGAAACAGTAGGGTGACTGGTGGTAACGCCGTTAATGTTACAGCATAACGTCCTAAAATTACTATTTAACTAGCCATGAAAGAAGATGAGAATCTAATAAGAATCGATCAGCTTCAGAAAACGAGCGTTGGCATTCATCGCGTTCCATATCACCCTCAGTAGCAAGGACTGTACGATATTAACAGAAAAAATACAAAAATGGCACACTCACCTTTCTCAGAATCAGCGAAGACGGTTACAGGCTTAGACAAGGGCTCCAGTTCAATTGATATCCGACCTTTGATACAGTCACTTTCTTCCATGAGCACACGCGACTCTCCATAAACACTACGGAGAGCTTCCAGTTCAGTCAACTGGTCTTCCCGCGTGTCCTCAGACATCCTATGACTGGTTTATTGAAGTATGGGTCACAGACAATAAATCTTGTCTACTTAAGTATAGAGCAACAACCGTAAGGTTAGGGAATAGAAATTCAAGAAAACCAGTGTAAGTCTTAACCTCTCAAAAAAAAACAACAGATTAATTAAGGATTTATACAACCAATGCATTTTTGTACACTTCAATTCAACAAATAATACCGAAAGAGCAAAAACAAAAAACACGTTGACACTTCGTTTTACTGGAAAGTTTTCTTACTGTGCAAATCTCTCAGAGATTTCATCAAGGTCATCGTCTTCCAATTTATTCTCAAGGGAAGGAATCAGTGCCTAAAAACAGTCTCATCTTTTAACTAAGAATTATATCGAATATTTTGGAATCATACAAACAATGTACTATTTGTACCTTAGCCTCCTCAGCTGTTTCGGGACATAAATTGACTATCTGCGCAACTTCGAACTTGTGTAAAGGCTTCTGGGAGAATATTGCACGAACAGCTTTGATAGTCTCTCGATTTTTGAAACGTGACAAACGCCGAGCGTAGTTAAGAGTCTGATTGGAAAACCTGGAGATGCTACTGCTCAACAGCTTACATGAAAGATTAGACCATCGAGCAAGTTCACAGTTTATGAGTCCCTTCACTGTCTGATATATAAATGGGCTTTTGGGAAACAATCCAAAGCACCGAAGTAGTCAACTTCCCAAAAATATCAAGAAGAGACCACCCTTAAAATTACGGCCTATTTGCTCATCATCGCATAAACTGATCAATTCTATGAATCACGTCCATGAGTCTCTAGGCGGGAAATACGTTATATGTGTAAATAAAGATGTCTCTCCACCGAAATCCAGTTAGAGTATTGCTTTGAAACGACAAGGTCAAGCAACCAAGCCGGACAAAACACATGAGAAGGTAATCTGATTATAACGGCATTTCGCTCGTAAATGAAATAGGTTCTTCGGTTTTTTATTTCTGCGTAAACTTAATACAGCTGTATTTAAAAGTCCTGTTTTTCCCATGGGGTGGATACCCACCGCTTTCAAAAAGCACCGCTGAGATAGTGATGGTTGTTCTTCCATATGATCTGGGCTCATAGCCTTAGGGGATTCAACGCCTTTAAAGGAGGATTTTACGATTAGAATGGAGGTCGAGGAAGAAGTAATTCACCTAGTTGAGTAACCCACGGACCTCCTGAGGGTGCGAACTGATGCGCAATTCGCATCGAAAAATTTGACCTCGGCGACCTATTATGCCTCAAAGTTGGCGGGTCTGGCGATCTCCGCCCACCGACCAGCTGATCACTCGCCGCAGATCTATACGTGGGATTGATTAGATAGCAGAGAGAGCGTGATGTTGAGGAGGGCACAGCGATAAGAGTCGCATCAATGCGCAAATCAGCGGGGAAGGAAGGGGTCCCATTTCTCGGGTTCTGGGCCGTTTCTCATGGTTCTTCCTTCTTTCGTGTACCAATCACCATCCCTGCGTTAATTTGGAAATGGGTTGGTCTGATTCGCTCAGCGTGCAGATGCGTCCTTTAGATACCGCTGCTAGCGTACCAAGGGACTGAGCCGGAGAGAGGCGTGAAAACGGAAACAGAAATTGCACATGCTCCCCCAGAATCACATCCCCTCTAAACGCCTAGTTACAAGTGCCGCAAGTGGCTCAGCCCTCAAAGAAGCAGAAATCATTCATTTATCCGCGACACAAATATTCGCCAGGTAAGGATAAACAGAATGCAGTGTCCTGTAGATATGTACCTTTCAGGAAACTGAGGGCAAGCTAAAAGTTTATCTCATAAGCAAAAACTGACCATCTTGCAAAAAAGATTCTACTTCAAATTTACTTTTTTTTGAAGCCGCTGAAAAATTGCATTCAGAAACATAGATACTTCGCAAAAAGGGCAACATAAGGTGAACAATGCAGTAGAAAATTAATGCTAGACAAATTTACCGTGGGAAAACGAATAGGGCGGCGTGAATCCAGATTCAAAGACCTGAGAATGAAAATACTGGGGAGGGGGGGGGAAGGAAGGGGGCGTCATGAGCCCCATCAAGAGTAAGCAATATCTTAATAAAGTGAGTTGCGAAAGGGCACTCATACCAACGTCCTGTTTTTGATACCCAATGCTCTCAAAAATAGCTTCAGAGCACAGGCTCTGAGTGTACGATTTGAGGATACCTATCGGTCAACCAGCTGGTCTGAACCCTCCTTCGGACTCGACCCTCCACAGTCCTGGCCACGCAATGACAGTTGAAAGCGGCGGAAGAGAGCAAGGAGCAGGTACGTCAATACGATATGGGTAACAAGTGTGACGCAGCGATCGTAGGTCACCGCTTTGGTGAAAGGTATCATGATTATGTTAGGTAAGCTTTGAGGGCTTTCCGCAACTTTACTTTGGTTAGACATGAGTGGCCCCAAAATAAATTTTCATCACCTCAAAACCCGCTTCACTTTTGAATGATATCAGAGCCCGCAACAGTAGCCGCGTTTCAGGCGCGTACGCAGCTAACGCTTAAGGGCTGGTTTCATGTTGTGTGCGTCCGGGACAGCCGGTGAAAACGTAACACGCACTTTGAAGCGGCAGTCGGGTGCGCTCCTTTGCATCCGATTAGTCCTGAATTTTCAATACATTTTTTCTATATTTTGACGTTTTGTGTGCCGTTTTGCTCTTTCTTGCGGCCTCCAAACTTTTCCTTTTTGTAGGGATTACTGCTTTTGTTTACCAATGAACTCACTTGGGGCTTACTGACACTTTTAAACACACTGTGTGAACCTAACCATTCTGGACAGTTGAAAGGCAATGATTTACCCGGAAAAGAATAAAGGTTCTCGCCGAACATGAGCAAAAGCAACACCGCACAAGGAGCTCCTGAAAAACAAAAATAGTACCGCGATTAAGACGATGATCTTTTAGAAGGCATCGACTGGCTTGCTCGTGTTTTTTTTCACACTGTGTTTTAAAAGTGGCAGTAAGCCCCAAGTGAGTTCATTGGTAAGCAAAAGCAGTAATCCATACAGGAAAAGTTTGGAGCTAAACAACCGCAAGAAAAAGCAAAACGGCACACAAAACGTCAAAATATAGAAAAAATGTATTGAAATTAGGCACCGACTGCGCTTCAAGTACGCGTCGTGCGCCAGAGCGCGTGTTGACGTTTTTCACCGCCACGTGGCGCTAACTATGAAGTGCTCCTAAATCGAGATCGACGATACTCGCGCGGGCTGGAGGGATGATATACTCTTCTGTAGAGGAGGAGAGAGTTCAGCCTGTTATCGATGGGTGTTCTGGTGTTCATCGTTTTTTGTAATAAACGGTGGCTTCCAAGGAAGCGGGGATAGTAGACAGCGAGGTTCTCTCAAGGTGTGTCTCTCGCTACGGACCGACGTCATTAGTCGGGACGACCAAGCGACGCTCGCTGGATGCCAATCTGCCCCTCGCGTCGAGCGCAATGGCGCACGCAGATTGCGCTAGATCGCTTGCCAAAAGGATGCACAGCGACCGGGCGGTTCCCCGTGGCCCCGCCCCCAGTCGATGCAGTCGGCTGCGGGTATCGATCGAGCAGAGCCATCGCCCGTCGCTTGTGCACTTTGCAAGCGATTGCGCAATCGCTTGCCAATCGCTCGACCGAGAGCGATTGGCAAGCGACGGACAAGCGATGGAGCGATCGCGATCGCTCGCTCGGTCCGTCGCCGACTATGACGTCGGTCTAAGCGTGCGTGCCAAAAAACGCGATTATGCCGCAAACTCTGACATATCTCTCACCGACCCGATCACCACATTAGCACCACTTTACAATTTTAGGATAGAGATGATTATCGCAAAAGCTGTGGAGAGCGTCTGGAGTCTCACAACACTGTGAGAAGTTGCTTGGTGAAACGGGAAAAGGAAATAACAATGAACATTGTAGGTTGCGATATACACTATATAAGAAAGCAAGAGCAAATGGGAAATGGATGACGTCCAATGAGAAAAAGGAGCCCGCAAACCTCACTCATATCCTCAATTTCATCTTTTGCTTCATTCTGCTGCCGTCTGTGCTCGAGTAGCAAGAACACTTCTGATGTTAGAAGAGCATCACAGTTTTGCGATTCAAACTCTGAAATTATGAACGAATTCTTCACGAATAGAAAATCACCCAGATGTCATCTGCACCCCTTTCTGACACTGCTTTGTAGGATTTAATTACCACATAAACACAATCATCCAGGATAGTGAGTTATCTTTCCTCTAAACTTAAGGAGTAAACAGCACCAAAATATTGAAGTACTCAGTATTGACGAGTAACAGAGAAGCTGCTATTTCGTAGGAAAATGCATCACAGAACTAAGTTGCGTTCGTACTTATCGTTATTATTACTTATCTTGAACCAGTAATTAGCTATCCTCTACGGCTCATTGTCTGCACTTAAAACTCTATTAAAAATGACAATTGACTGATACTCAAGCATATGATTGAGTTTCTTAGCTTATGATGTTCAGCATTAGGTGCTTCTAGACATTCTTGTTCCTACAAGTGCAATTTTGAACATTCCGAACCTATGAAAAATGTTATTTTACACAAAATAATATGTTTACGAACCTTTAGGAAACCGCATCTCAGTTGCATCCTCATCGACGGTATCCTCAGCAGTCTTCATCGCTGACGACATTACGTCCAAAAACGACAGAATAAATATTAACTACGCCCACACTAATTCATCGTTTTTCAAGACAGAGACGAGATAGAACACAAAAATAGACAGAATTTCAGGAGGGCATGTTGTGCTACAGTTGCTGCCGCCTACGAAATTTCCAATTTCTGAAAGGTAGGAATCCCTCTGGTGGCGACTTTCGCTTCCGCTTCTACAGAACCCTGAAGCCTTTCTTATGCGAAAATCTGGACTATTTTATTCAATATGAACTGTCACATCACCTGCCAACAACCCTCCCACCCCACGCCACCCCCTCCCTTACTAGATAAGACTTAATGGAAAGAAGAATAACTGCCCCTCTACTGAACGAAGTTGCGA